AAAAATTTTGACTCGGTAAAATACACCAATATATATCACAATTCATCAATACACATGATTCTGCCACTTTTGAAAAACAGATGTAAGAATGAGAATATGCATGAGGCATTTCATTTTATTTATAATTAACTCCATTCTTTCTTCAGTTCTTTTAATGATTATATCATATAAGATAATTCATTAATACAAATAAAAGTTATTGGAAGTTACCAGTCATATCATAGAGTAGTAGGCAGTTCAACTTTCAAATCTCAAGCACCATGTAATGCACAGAACCTAAGATCTAATTTATATTGGTGGAAGATATATAAAATTTTATCTTTTTTTTAATCTCATGACCTCCATAACTTTTGCACTGAACATTACAACATGGGATATATTCATCTCTCACTTTCAGTGTTATCAACTTTCAAAAATCAATAACGGTTTGTGGGATTGGGATTAGGATTCAGGAAAGCTTTCTTAGAATTAAATCGGTTTGAGCTTCATATATAGCTTCACATATCACAGAACTCATAGTCATAACAATATATTTCATTGTATAATAATATGTAAATACACAACTTTTATACAACAATGACTCAATCCATTTACTGAAATTTAAACCAAAGTAGGACAAGGTCATAAACTTTCATAGTCATAACTTATAGCAATGAACATTCTGTGCGTGCCGTATATATTCACTGCCATTTTCTACGTACGTGTAGTTGAAAAGTAATAAATGCTGCATGGATATACAAACACCACTCATCAAGATTAGTTTAACAGTTATGCAGTGGGATAAGAAGCTTGCATTGCTATGCCACAAAGGCCTTCTTGAGCAGCCACATTTCTTTGCATTCTAATGTATCCTTCTTCTCCCCATTCTGTTCCCCATGAGTTTTTCACTAACCAGTATTCGGTATTGCCACTGACACCATAACCAATGGCAGTAACACCATGATCTAACTCAGTACCACAAGAACCTGTGAAAATGCCACTTGAATAAAACTGAAAATCAGATCCACTTGCATCTATGGCCACTGAAACAGGCTGGTTAGCTACTGCTTTTTGTAGTGCCTGCTCGCTATTAGTAGGAACATCCTCATACCCCTTAATGGTAGCTACATGATTGGCTTCTTCATTGGCATTGCAGGTTCCATCAACACCCTTATAAGGATAGTTGGCTTCTGAGGTAATACCATTATTTTTTATGATGAATTTGAATGCATCATCCATCAAACCTCCTTCACAACCATGGTCCACACCTTTGTCGCAATCAACTAGCTCTTGTTCTGACAAAGAGATCAGTTTACCTGTGCTCAACTTAGTGATTCCTTCTGTTGCCGCCACAGCAGAAAATGCCCAACAACATCCTACAATGCATGAAAGTAAAACAGAGTTGAATAAAACTTCAAGGACTCTTTAGACAATCTAAATGGCAACTTCCAATCACAATTGATTACTTTCGAGGGGTAATAAAACAATTCTTACCACAGTCGCCTTGGTTCTTAATGGGTGTGACAGCACCTTGCTTTCTCCAATCTACAGAGGAAGGCACATCAGTTACATTTGCATATTTGAAAGAGGGTGTCCTTGAGATTGAGGAGCACATATGACCCTTGAATCTATTCCTACAAGCTGTGAATTCTTCATTCGTGAGATCTGCAAATTGATTTACACCCAACTTGTAAGGCTTAGTTCTAGCATTGTTAAAGTCTTCAATATATTCCACATTTTGCTTGAATATGCTGAAACGCTTCTCCTTATCCTGAGTGTCCTTATACACTCTGCCATATTGAACCATCCATTCCTCATGCCTCTCCCGCATTGAAGCATCTTGAAGAGTGCGAGATGAGGCTTGAAATGCCAACATCCCCAGCAAAAGGAAGGTAAATGGAAGGAGAAGGCTAGGAGATTGAATTTTGAAAGCCATGTTACGGTGAAAATGGAGATAAGTAGCTTCAGATATGACTCAGTCAAGTGTAGGAAAGAAAGATGATGTGATGAACTCCAATGTTCTTGAGGTATTTATATACCAAAACTTGCACTGACTTGTAAACCAATCATATTATATGACTATAATATATAAACGCCTCTCTCTTCGGAGTGCCTGAAAAAAATGCTATGAACAAGACGGCTGGGTAAAGTGTTAAAATGGAGGTCTTTGATAAATGTCTTAAATGGGAAGGTATTTTGACTGAAAATATGATTTAAAAAACACCAGCATATATAGCTAAATAATATAATACTTCAGAATTTGTGTAAAATGCAAAATTTAGCATCAATACATCATTCAAAGAGATAGGAAGAATATAAAAGAATACAAAATATGGTATATATTCTGAAACGTTTACGTATGGAAGAATGACTATACGACTACTTGTCGTTGAGTTACTTAGATGGAATGGAAAGTTGTCATCTAGCTGCATTTTTTATTATGAAAATGAAGTACTTAATACTGGTTGTTAAACCACATTACTTTTAACAATTGAGGTGATTTTAATATATAAGAATGCTAATTAATTCTGCCGGTTTCGTTGTCAATTAATAAAATTAGTTATTTCTTTGAAATTACTCTCAGTAGACATCATCCTGCTTTCCATGAACTGTTTTAATCAAGATGTAACGTCCTTCAATCCCAACCATGGCTGACAGGATATCATCAATAACAAGAAGCTCCTACATGTACAAAGAACAAATACTATTTTTAAGCCTAAGTGGACAATAATCCAAGGTCATTATGTAAAGATTAATTCTACTTCCAAACAAAAACTCTTACAAACTGAAAATCATAAACACTTCAAACAAGGGCACATAAGTAACAGGAAGCATGTAGAATTCAACCCAAACTTAAGAGTAATGCTACCGATACACAGCTATTGGAGTCAAAAGTGTAGTACTTTCCCCATCAAACATTTTGTGGTCCCACCTAAAATTTATGCTGTTTAAATCATATTAAACCACCTGTGCAGCTCTACAGAGTTGCAAGTCTAATTACGTCAACTGTTATGTAACTCTGCCTGGTTAAAAATGGATAAACTAGCAATATGGAGCTGACCTCACTAAACGAGTATTGAAGAATCCACAAACACAACTGAAATTTGTTAAATCTAGTATATCTGAAAATTCATTTTAATTTTCTTTAAAATTTCTTTAGCTGTCGCCAATGCTTCAAAAATTACAACATAAATAGAAGAACTTCTATTTCTCGGTAGTTGCTTCAACAAATAACGCTCATTTTAGTAAACATGCGATCATTAAAGTCAGTAAGAATTTATGTTTAAATAAAATTTTGTGCGCAAGCTGAAAATCGACAATACTACCAATTAAAAGAAACATCCAACAAAGAAGAAAACAAGTCATCTATCAAGTTCCTGGAGAAATATACCTGTACGCTAAAACTTTAAATAAGTTCCCTACTTGTACCAGAAATTCACAACTCCCCCACATTTCAAATGAATTAAACTAAAATGAACAGAAACAAGAAACAGATCAACAAGGAGAGAGAGATACTTGAACCGCAGCATCGTAACAGCCAATAGGATTTTCAAACCCAGCACTGCTCAGGTTCATATCGAACCAAACTCAACCTCCAAATCTCAGCCCACAGAAGATCGGCAAAGAAATATGGCTGCAGCAAAAGAAAAAAGTACCCCAAAAAAAAAAAGATGAGTTTGTTGAAAAGAGGAAATAGGACCCCCACAATATCGACACTAAATCTGAAGAACGAAGACGGAAAAGAAATGTTACCAGCGAAAATGGGGAAGGGAGAGCCCAGAACTGAGAAGAAGAACTGAAGAAGAGTGGACTGTGTAAAATTATCTTACAGAACTTCGTCGCTCCAAAATTTTGAATTCCGCTATGAGCAGAAGGTTTTATCGTAAATATAAAATTTTAATTTACTTTTTTTTATATTTATTTATTTTTAAAATAGTCCTTATAATATAGTTACATATATTAAAAGTTTCATCAAATATTAGTTCTAATTAATATATATAATTAGTAAAAATATTTTATAAAAAATTATTATAAATAATTAATTTAACTAATTTTTTTAGTCTCTCTAAACTATCAAACTAGATCCTATAGTAATGAGATAGTATATGGTTTTCTTTAGCCATTAATTAATAACATTGTAAGGAGAATAAAAGGTCAATTTTTCTACGCTAATTTTGTTCTGAATGTAAAAATTAGAAATCAAATCTCCCACTTTGTAGGTTAAGGATAAAAGCTCCTATGCCATACATGTTAGTCTCAATGAGTTTGTGACATTCCTATAATACTTGGGACAATTAATATAAGAGCTAGTTTGGGATTGAATTTGATCTTAAATTAATATAAAATCTCATTTTATTTTATCTCTCAAATTTATAATTAGTTTTTTAAAATATCTATATTGATTACACATGTTAAGGAACTTTTCATCCATACTTTAGGAAAATAGAAAAGAATAGTCATCATTAAAAAAGATGCTTTAGGTTTAACAAAACCAATTCATACTTGCTACAAATAATTATTTTAACTAATTTTTTAATTTATCGAAATTAGTTAAGTAGTCATTGTTTATGATTCTACGTAAACTATTAATAGAATGTGTAAAAGTTATAAAAAGTAACTAATGAAAGTTTGTCTACTTGATAAGAAGTCAACTCATAATCCATTAGATCATGAGTTCAAATCCCATGGCTCATGTTAGAACTTTGTTGGTGAGTCATCTGTAAATACATCTATAAGCGCTCTCCAAATTTTGAAGCATATCTTGATCCTGGTGAATTTTTAAAACTCAACTCATCTAAATTTTTTCTTATCAAAGAAAACGTTGTTGAAAGTGAAATCATCCATTGAAAAATAAATAGTTCAGCTTTTAAGATTTTCTTTGCCCACCAAAAGAGAACTTATATTGTTATCCAAGAAGAATTTACACCATAACTATAACGAAAAACACAAATGGGAAGCAAATCCGGGAAAAAAAAGACTAAGGCAAAATGAAAAAAAAAAGGTACACTGAGGTGTACTTCACCTAAAATGAAAGAGAGTGAGAGAAATTCTTGCGTGCACTGGGAGTGCCATGTAATCTGTGATCTGCCCAATTAAATGAAACCAACTCAGATAGGTTCAGTCTCACCTGGCAGTACTGGTCAGAGCAAGAAAAGATTGTGGGTCCCATAAAATTAGAGAAATTCTTGCGTGCACTGGGAGTGCCATGTAATCTGTGATCTGCCCAATTAAATGAAACCAACTCAGATAGGTTCAGTCTCACCTGGCAGTACTGGTCAGAGCAAGAAAAGATTGTGGGTCCCATAAAAATTAATACCTAGCAATTTCTCTCTCTGCCTCCCATTTTCACTGCCGACATTGCCCTTCTTTCTTTTCCACCAATACGCCGAAAACCATCCCAAAAAACCCTTCATCCATTAAACCCCATTTCAACAACGTGCCCGTCCCACTGTTTTTGATCCGGATTGCCCGCAATATATTAAAAATATTTTCCTTATATATACTTATAACATTTATATTAATTAAGTTCATCTCATAAAATGAGCCAAAAAATCTCATAAAATAATAAATACATAGTTATATATATTTTTTGAGTTGAAAAATGATCTCATTACTTAAAATATGTACAGAGAATTATACTTTAAATTATTGAAAATAATTGTTGAATTTTGAGTCACATTTAGATAAACTTTCTCATTTTTTTAATTGAATTCACAAACACACATAATATCATTAGTTTTTAATATAATATCAAAGTTAAATAACTAGTTTGTAAATGTTAAAAGAATTAGTTAAGTTAATTGTTTATAATAAATATGTATTAATTTTTTAAAATATTTTTTAATCCATGCATTATAACTATTCCTTCATGAAAATATTCTTATTATGTGCAATTAATAAAAATAAATTAAAAAAATATAAATTTTTTAAGATTACTAAATTAAATTTCTTATCTAACTCATATTTAGAATTAAAGGTAGTATTTTTGTTTCAAAGATAAACATACACAAAATTATTTATATTTATTAGTTCATTTTTCTTACTTTAGTTGCAGTATTAAATATATATATATATATTAGATGCAAAAATATATTAAAAAACCTCCCACAATTTTACATTATCATTAAATTTTATTTAAACGCATATCAGATATAAATAAATATTTTAATATATAGTTATGCATCTATTATTTTGTGATGGCCAAAAAGTATTTATTATTTTTTAACTTAATTAATATAAAAATTATAAATAAATAATTCTAATATATTGTGCGTTGGTAAAATAGGTTATAGGGTTCAAGGGATGAAGGCAAAATTTTTAGGGTGATTGTCAGCGATTCAATCAAAGGGAAAGAAGGGCAATATCGGCAGTGAAAATGGGAGGAAGAGAGAGAAATTGCTAGGTATTAATTTTTGTGGGACCCACAATCTTTTCTTGCTCTGACCAGTAATGCCAAGTGAGACTGAACCTATCTGAGTTGGTTTCATTTAATTGGGCGGATCACAGATTACATGGCACTCCCAGTGCACGCAAGAATTTCTCAGAGAGTGATGGACAAGGAAAGGTAAGCCCACTTTTTATATTGGGGGCCACGTCATTTTTTGTGTCTATATGTTTCTACAAATGACATGCATGCACTTTAGGCAATCAAATTGGAAATCCAATCTCAATTTAATCCCATATCGATATTTTTTTTCAAAGCTACTGATTGCATATATTAAAAGAAATTTTCATTAACGGGAGTAATCGTTAAATGGTGAATTGTAGGAAAACCAACACATAATATAATTATTACTAATAAGCAATTTAACTAATACCCTTAATAATTGTAAATTAGTTATCTAGTTACTCCTCCGGTCCTAATTATAAGACCCAATTGACTTATTTGAGGAGATTAAGGAAGTAAGTTAAGTTGGTTATTTATAATAAATAAGTGTTGTTATTCCTAAAATATTCTTTTTAATTAAGTATATTGATTAAAACTATCATTATTAGAAGGATTATTTTAGAAAAAATGCATAAATATAAGAGAAAATGGATTGGGTCTTATAATTAGGACCAAATAAAAAGTCAAATTGGGTCTTATAATAAGGACCGGAGGAGTATTATGTTTATGTTGAGAGGGAGTATTAGTTTTAAGGAGTAATAGAGTAATTCTCACTACAATCGCCTTGGTTCTTGACGGGTGTGACAGCACCTTGCCTTCTCCAATTCACAGGGGAAGGCACACCAGTCACATTTTCACATTTAAAAGTGGGTGTCCTTGTGATTGAGGAGCACATAAGACCCTTGAATCTGTTTCTAGAAGCTGTGAATTCTTCATGTGAGATCTGCAAATTGATTCGCACCTAATTTGTAAGGCTTAGTTCTAGCATTGTTAATGCCTTCAATGTATTCCACATTTTGCTTCAACATGTTGAAACGCTTCTCCTTCTCCTGAGCGTCCTTGTACACTCTGCCATATCGAACCATCCATTGCTCATGTCTCTCCTTCATGGAAGCTTCTTGAAGGGTGCGAGATGAGGCTTGAAATGCCAACATGCCCAGCAAAACAAGAGCCAATGGAAGAACACTCTGAGATTGAATTTTGAAAGCCATGTTTCTATGACAACGGAGATACATCACTGGCTTCAGATATGACTTAGTCAGGTGTTTGAAAGAAAGATGCTGTGATGAATTGAACTCTAATGATCTTGAGGTATTTACAATGCAAAAATTACACTGACTTGTAAACCAATCATGTTCTATGATTGATTAATAATCATTAAACAAAAATGATAATAATAATAAAATAAAAGCCTTTTTCTGCGGAGTGCCTAAAAAAATGCTACGAATAAGATAGCTGGGTAAAGTGTTAAAATGGAGGTCTTTGAGAAATGTCTTATGGGAAGGTATTTTGATTAAAAAGAGAAAAAAATCCTTTTTTTTTTTTGAGTTACAGGAGGGCGGGATCGAACCCGCATTACACACACCCATGCACACACCCACACCACTGGGCCAACAGGCCGGTAGAAGAAAAAAAAAAAAAAAATCCTTTAACACACATCCATTAAAGCAAAGTTCTAGAAAAGGATAAAAGTCTACAGATTTAATCAAAGTTTGAACCCTTACAAGAGCTTTGGAGCTAATTCTGAAATAAGGCAATGACAGATGATATTGTCTGGATCAAAGTGAGGAAAAGAAGCAGAATTGCTCCTGAAAAAGATGCTATCCTCCAGGGAGTGCTCCAATATTGCCGCTTAAAGATTGCTTGGTACTTGTGGTATGGGCTATCACAAAACTTGTTCAATTCTTCTGATAGATAGATATAATCATTATTGAAGTTTACAGGGGTAGCATTCCTGCTCAGTCTCTTGGTTATGAAAGCCACTGCATCATCCTCCCCTATGTAGTTCTCTATAATCCCTTTTTCTTCAAGCATTTCAACATCTTTTCCTGTTCTAATAAGATGGCCCAAGAGCATTATGTAATCAGTCATGCTTCTTGATGAACGAAAGTGACACTGCTCAAATGCAACCACATTTCTAAGCTGGATCTCTGTGAAATCACTTACCCTCGTTCTTGGTATTTTCAACACTCCCTTTGAATATTGCAGCCGAAGTATGCTCATTTCATCTTCATTAACCTCAAATTTAATTCCCGCATCATCTAATTTACTTGCATTATATACAGGCTTTAGTTTGCCGATACTAGGTTCCCTTGGTAGTTGATCAAGCCGTACACAAAAGATTCTTAGCATATCACACAAGTGATCCACTTTTGGAGTACCATCAAGTGTCGGCAGGTGGTGTTGTTCAAAATATGAGTACGTAAACCCTTCACGAAGTTTTTCGTTAGGAACTATACCCGATAGGAATGCACCTTTGAAATAGTAGAAGGTAAAAAACACAAATGTAGATCCAACATTGCAGCCATTGGAAAAATTCAGGTCAAACAGATCTTCAAGAATAAAAAATGGTAGCTGATTTTCAGCTAAAATTAAGTCTGATCTTATCTCCATTGAGGGTAGCTTAGAAAGCGAGCTGTCCACACCTAGCATTAGAAGAAAGTATTCAATAATGAAGCAAGCATCAGTTAGAACCATCCTTACAAATTCATCGCTCTCCATTGAGATGTTATCTGAATAACAGCTTCGAATTTTGCTTTCTTTGTGTTTGAGGACACAAACATAATCATCAAACGATTTTTGTTGATTTCTCTTCAAAAAGTTGCAGAGGAACCACAATTTGACCTCTTCCATTGATTTCAATCTTTTATCGCCATGGTGATATGGGCCAATGGAAACCGACATGGGTTTGTAGGCTGTCGGATTCATTTTTCGAATCAATGGAGGCACTCTGTAGATGCAATAACTTGAGGGCAACTCGATAAGTTCCCTATTTTCTAGCTCAGCTTTTAAGGAGCTTAACGAGTCAGGTCTACCTAAAGACCTTCTTTTTCTCGGCATTGATATTCTCTGGGACAATTCGGAACACCACTGAAAATTAATTAAAAATTTTTATAAGAAATATATATAATCAATTAATTCAATCATAATCAATGATTAACATTTGCATCGTAACTGACATTTATTATCAACAGCAACAAAGCATCGGGACCAACTCCGTGACCGGTGAAGGCGAAGCAGGACGTCAGCAAGGAGAGGATGGAGACTCGCAACTTGCCGTGTGAGCGATTGAGAGGTGAAGGCGAAGCAGGACTTTAATGAACGATGAAGGCGAAGCAGGACGTCAACGAGAAGGGAGACTTGCGACTGGCTGCCACTGTCAGTGAACGGCCGAACTAGGAGGACCGCCGTCAGCGACGATTTCGGCGGAGGGAATGGCTGGAGTCTGGGAGAAGGAGGAAGGTAGTGATTCTGCGATTTCGCGGGCAGGGGATTTTCGGATTTGGGATGGCTGATGAGGACTTGTGAGGGAAAGGATGTCGTCTGAAGCCGTCTGGGGGCCCCAAATAAAAGAAAAAAAGGGACTGGCTACCTAATTTAAAAGCGATTTTGACCGATGAAACCGGTTTTTTAAACAAATCAGACTGGATTAGTGACCTATTTACCGGTTTTTCGATTAAACTATCTGGTTCGGTCTCTTTTTTTTTTTTTTAAACCTTGGTCAGATCTAGATGGTCATAATTAAATTAATATTTTTTTTCAAAACACATCCTAATTAAGAGACCCAAAAAATAATTACAAAAATCTATTGAAAATTGGTTTCAAATAGAAAACAAAAACATAATATAATTAAAAATATAAGGCGAGTAAAGAAAAAAAAGAAAAAAAAATAATCTGAGGAAAATAACAAATATTTTACAATTTTAAAAGATAAAGATTTAAAAAATTATGAGATCTAATATTTATACAGATATGTTTTTAATTTAGAGTTTTATATTACAAATATCTATATTTTATACATGAATTTACATTGCACATACACATTTTAACAATTAACAATATCAAAATAACAAGTGTGTATATGAAAATTTATAAATTCTAATTTATATTATATTATAAGAGTTGAACAAAAGTTTGCAAGTCTTCATAAGTGAATTTATAAGTCAGATGCACACTTTAACAACTAACAATAATTAAAAATTCCAATGTGCAGGAAGGCCCAAATTTGAGTCTCACTTATTAAAGCGGAGATAGGACATATTAGGTTAAAGGATGAGGTCTCATAAGAGCAGCCATTTGAAGAGGAAGAAGAGCCAACCATTTTCGTATCTTCACATGACAGTCATGATAAATCAGCATTTACATATTAACTAACTATTGGATCAATTAAAAACTTGGTTTGTAGGTTTACAACATCTAGTGCATCACTTTCAATGAGGGGATCATCAACTCATTGCTTGGTGCGATAGCCTCTGGTTTGAGTATTTTTTTTAGCTTTTTCATTCTCTACTTTAAGCTTGTAGCTTTGATTGTTTGACTAGTTGTCTGTACTTGTTTATGCATCTGATAGAGACTCTCTCATGCCCTGTTTTGATCATAATGGAGCTGTAATTTTTTTTGATCTGGACGATACATGGTTTTTACCCTTGCATTAAGGGTTTTTTGTGTTAATAATCTTGGTGTCTATTTGGCTATTTAATTTCTGCCATATACTTGTTTTGTTTTCTCAAAGATTCTTGCAAGTGGTGAGAAAATATTTCACTGTATCTAACTCATAAGTTTGAGTTGTGTTGGCTCCCTTATGCATTGTTGTTAATTCCCTTTTAATTTTTTCTTGTAAGTCACCTAAGTTTTGTTGTTAATCCCCTTGTGCAAACCTTGACATCTATATTTGTCTCTCAACATAACCCCAGGTACTTGATGAAGATGATTTTGATAACTACCTTGGCTCTAGGAAGTGGAAGCTCACCAAGGTAGTTTGGTGATGGCAAGAGGGAAAAAGATTTTCGAGTTCTATATGACAAAAGCTTTGGGGGTAGAGATAATATGGATGCTATAGAATGACCTGTGGTTTTCACCTTTGCATTGAAGGGTCACCATTACAAATTTATAAATATTTGATGTCAAATACTTGACAGTTATTCTAAACACCGTTAAATAAGAGGGACACAGGAAATACTTGATGGTTATTAATAATAACCATTAAGTACTGCATTAAAATACTTGACGGTTTTAAATAATCGTTAAGTATTGCGTTAAAAGAATTGACGATTTTAAATAACTCTTAAGTATTGCTCTCAACTACTTGACGATTTCGAAGAAAAACTATGAAGTATGGTTTCGCGTAGGAATATTTGATGGTTTTCAGTAGAAGTGTTCATTTATCCTAGACTCGTTTGAAATTTTTACTGTCATTTCTTTGTCTCTCCCTTGGCCTTTGAAAATTCAAATCTTCATTACCTACCTCAATTTCACACTTTTCCCTATGATTTTGTGCTTCTCAACCATCATTTTCTTATTCTCCCCTTCATTGCCATCAAATTCACTGTTCGCCATTCGTCGCTGCCATCGTGCTCGCATTTTAGGACAGTGCAAGAGGCGATTCTGCTTCACATTCCAGGTTCCTTGTCTTTCTTCTTCTTCTTCTATAGTGTTTTAAAAATGTTTTGGATTTATAGTAATGCTATTTGCTTTGGTTCATCTCTTCTTCTTATTCTTCTTCTTCGTTTGAATATTGACCAACGGGTTTGTTAGCTGTTCTTCATTTTAATATTGGTTCATTTGTGTGGGTTATATGTTTTTTTACAAGTTTTCTAGGTTCTGGGTTGTGTTACCCAAATTGTGGGTTGTATGTTTTGATTATGGTTTGTGGGGTTTGATTTTTGGTTGAATGGAATCATTTCAGTTCTATTAAAGCATTATTCCTAATAGTTTGAATGATTATATGTTACATGAGATATCATTTAGACTAAATTAAACTTCCATGAATAATTGCCTTGCCGGGTTGGTATTGAAAGATTTATTTTTTGATGTTAAAATAGTGGAAAGAGAAGGCATAAGGCCTGGGAAGTATTCATTCTAAGCTGTCATGCTGTCGAATTTTTTCCAATTGCAATGGGACATGATTGAATTTAGATGGCATTGTTTCTAAATTCAATGAAATTTGTTTTTAGTTAGAAGACTTAGACTTTGTATTAGTTGGAATTCAATGGCTTTGTTTTTGTTTCATGAATATTGTTATTAGTTATGATGTTGTCCTGTTGCTGGTTTGCTGTTTAGTAATTTTTTTGAAGTTAATATAGTTCAAATACTCATTTTTAAGCTATTATGCTATCGAATTTTTTTTCCAAATAGAATGGCACATGATTTAATTTATTTCAAGATCACTAGAATTACTAGTTATTAACAGTTGAAATAGCAGAATTAGAATTAAAGAGGGTAACATGTAATCAGTTGTAACTCATTGATCTCCTATTTTTGTTTAATTCGCTCAACATGTTTGACTCGTTGATCACACGGTTCAAGCTTTGATTAAATCTGTAGACTTTTATCCTTTTCTAGAACATTACTTTAATGGATGTGTGTTAAAGGATTCTCTTTTTTTTTTTTCCTTTTTCTTTTTTCTTTTTTTCTTGGTTGAGCTCTTTTCTTTGTGATATATTAAGGACATTTTGCTTACCAATTAATCCACCTTAGAGAATTGGTTCTAACCAATTTTGAAACGTTCATATATTAACTACATGAGGCAGGAGTCAAATTTCAAAGCTCACAAAGGGAGACGGTTAACTAAGTTTCTATTTTCGCTATTTTCAGAAGGGGTTGTGAGAATACCAAGAATCAGTGTGGGTAATTGGACTGACAGTTTGTTGAGAAACATGGTGGCTTTGAGCACTGTTACTATCCAATCTGGAAAAGATGTTTAGATTCTTGTAATGGAATCATGGAGAGTTTTTCTTTTAATAGTGATACAGTCACTTCCATGTTTCTTTGTATAGAGACTTAGATGGGTTTTATAATGACCGTTATCACAAATATAAAGCAATCTTTATGCGTGAATACCGGAGCATTCCTTGGAAAAAAGCTTCTGCTATTGCGGCAATTCTTTTACTTTTTTCACTTTAATCCAAATAATATGTTCTATGACCCTTTGTTTCAAAAGTAGGCTACAAAGTCTTGTATTGCTCTAGAGTTTTCAATAAATTTTGCACATATGTATGTATCTTTTATGTCATAATAGCTATTTGATGTTTGCAAACTTTCTTTTTCTTTGTTTTTTTTTTTTAATAATCAAAAGAGTTTTTGCTTCAATAATTAAAAGAGTTTGAATCATTGACTAGTGCTGCTTTATACCATCCTCCATTCTGGCTTCTTTAGTTTATTTGTTTTATTTTTATGAGATATTACCCTACTCAATATAGGTTACTTTTTTTTTTTTTTTTGGTTTGATTAAGGGTCTTTCCTTTCGAGACTAAAGCGCAGAGGGTTTTTGCATCTCTCAACAAGTATGATTCTCAAAATTTAAACTTGTATTCTTTTCCTTACGGGATAAGGCTGCTTACTACCTTAACCAACAACTTGTTGATAATATAGGGCACTTTAAATTATCTCAACATACATATTGAAAAATGAGTTGAAAGTTAGTTAGATTATATAATTTGTCAAAAAAAAAAACTATTTTTCATCATCATCAATTCCCGCCTCATATTAATTACATCTTAATTACAAAATTATGATAAAAAGGAAAAAATAGCTAAAGTGATAAACATATTTTCTGGCGATTTATATTCAAGACCAACAAATCCATTTACAACGTGACTCACATTTTTTCCAACAACAATGCGACTAAGAATTAGAAGAAATTATTCTTGTATCTACTTTATATGTAAAATCTTGTAATAACCGGTGATGTCAAAACGGGTTGGGTTAAGCAGTTGAATGGCCACTTAATTGACAGTTAATATTATGATAATGATAGAAGAGGGGCACCATAAACACTATTAGAAAAAACGGAAATAGAGTTTCACAAACAAATTATTTACAGAATTTATTAACATCTGATTTATGCAATGCACATTATCTTCAAACTAACATTCAACCTATTTGTTCTCTACCTTTGTGAATTTAATTATTTTAATGACACAATAATTGTGGCTGCATTTTTTAGATTTCTTTGAAACTAAACATTGATGTTTTATCAAGGAGAATAATATTATAGGTAGTTTTACTGAAAATTTTTATGTGCAATTAGTATTGTCGTAAAATTGTCAACATTAAATACTTGAAGCTTATATTTCATTGTCTGATTCATATATAAGAAAAATAATATTTTTAAAAATACTCCCTTCAGTTCAAAATATAACCTAAATTTTATTAGAGGGATTTGATTTTTTTATAAGATAATATTTACTTTTGTCTAAGCATCTAATAAGTTTTTCCAATTACGCTCCCACACATTCTCTTTCTTTTTTGATTCATTTATTGCGTCTTTTACCTATTCTCTTTATTAGCAAGGGTATATTTTAAAA